ATTGCAGTACCTAGCCAATATATAATAATGTCCCGTTTTTCAACAAGGTAAAATATGTGCCTAGTTTTACTTAAATTATCATATTTGTCGCGTTTTTTGTTATTTAACTCAGGCCTGGCGATAGCTTCTGCTCTGGTAGTGGTCGGTAACGTTCAACATTCCAAGACCAACGGTATCGACAACAGCAGTTCTCCGCTGCCGGGTAAAGAAGACGTCCGCTGGACCGGAAGGGGTTTGAAAGCCAGCCAACATCCAAGTGAAGCGCGAATCTAAGATGACGACGACACTCACAATCTATCTTCTCTTCTCCGGCTTCGTCGGCAGTTTCTTCGCGATGCAGCGTAACATATATAATAATATTAAAATCGTATAAAAAAATACCGGCACCTGTATATATATACAGTGTGTATAGTCGAACCCGATAAGACTGATGAGATCGTATATATTATTATAATATACGTTTATACGGTGCATTTATGTAATACCTTACTACTATATTTAATATTATATACAATTAATGTAATACTACTAATACTACTATACTACTACTACTACTACCAGAACTACTAAACTATCCGTAGGTTTCCGAATTAATCTGATGGCCGATCGGATGGTCATCAGATTGGTATATGAACGACAAAACATAGATATGATGGAATATWATACATATTATAATACTTCAATGAGTGTCTAAACGTGAATACTGCATTTCTTTAAAAAAAATTTTTATCGTTGAATTTGCGAGTGTTCGTTACATTTCTATTGTTTAGACGCCGGGCACAATCCACTTCTTTAAAAATCTCGTGTAGACAATGTTGCAACTAGGGGGCGATTATTCCTCAGCCCCTWCAAAAATATTCCTTTCGATTTAGATATAAGTTCCCTATGGATTATTTTTAATTAATAGTCTTGTTATAATATGAGTMGTATCTCCCCTCAGAATATAAACTCTTATTGCGTCAATGTATTAAAGCAACACGATATTTTGAATCTCGTCTTGATCCGTAGACTTCCACAACACAAAAATCTCAAATCTGTGTCTTAATCACCAATTGATAAACACGCCATATGTTACAGTGACAATGGGGATTCCTCTAGATTAACTTTTACCCTCCCCTTCTCACCCTCACCAGTCACCTATAATTTATTGTTAATTTTTTAGCTTGCCTGCCAATATCTGCCATCGCCATGTTTACGCACTATACACACTCGTTCAGTGTGCAATAGTTCTCTCCTCGGGCACGCCTTGCTACACATTCCTAAATCCTGTAATATAATAATATATTATGCCATCGTTCTCGAGTCTCAAGAGATTGTTTGGATGTACTTAATAGGTACACTGTACAATGGCCGCGTAGGTAGAATATARTATTATACAAGTTATTCGTGATTATTACCTATATAGATAAAATATTTATACATAGTACATACGTCTACATCTACGTGTACGGTGTACGTCATACGATATTATATTTATTATCATTGTGTATAACTGTGACACCTACAAATAGTATTATTATTATTATTATTATTATTGTTACTTGTTGTGCGATAGACATTAGACAGTATTTCATTGCACTTATAATCTAATGTACGGACCGTTCGAAAATGTTTACTCCTCTCATCTATTCCGTGATACCTTAAATCGTTTAATACCTCGAAAATTAAATTCCTTGTTACAATCTCAAACAATATGAAATATTTCAACAGCGGCTATCGATCATATACCTGCTGTTTATCCTATCATCGATCGCAAAAAATCTAAGATCGTCCATATTAGTCGTTTCTACATTTTTATATTTTCATTTCAAAAGTTTGTCATATCATGTTATCGAATTGTATTTTACCTGTACTATATTATGTACATATCGGTAAGCGTGATGTGAAGTTTCTTTTTCTTGGTTGGTTTTCATTATTCTTTTCGAATGGTTATTTTTTCGAAACCTCACTACTATTGCTTACCTTCATAATTTTAATAATAGATTATGGTTCGTTATCCGTAGTGGGCTCAAATTCAAAATCGTTCGTCCAGCGGTTGTCCGACATGACACAACGACGACACGCGTATTCGATAAATTACGCTATTATTTTCGCTACTATACATTTTATAAGAATTATTTATTGAAATAAATTATATATTATTAATTATTATGTGTTCTAATAAAAAGAAGCGTATTATTTATAATACATATTTTCTGTGATTTTAGATTGGCTTACTCGATTGTGAGTGGTTTTTCTTTATATAGTGTTAACTATTTTGTGTTTTTGTATATATATAATTTATGGATGGTAGAAATCTCCAAATAACACTATCAAGTGCTAATTATTATTAATGAATACAGTTATATAATTATATTATAATATCTAGATTATAACTATTATTATTTTTATTATATTATATTATACATCATTAGTTTGTAATATTAATTTTAGTTTATGAATATTTTTTAAAACGTCCATTTATTTTTATTTTCGTATATTTTTTGTTAAAAAAAAAAACAACAACAAMAAAACTATTAAACTATTACTTGTTTTGTCATTAGTCATGTTATTTGTTATCCTAGTTTATTTTGTTTAAAGAATAAAAACAGGACACAGAGTATATGGCTTAAATTATATGATGCATCTATTCTATTGTACTTATAAAAATATAATTATCATATATTTAAATGCAAGGAAATAATATTAGCTTTTGAATATATTGTTTCAAAAATAACTTGTATGTTTGTTATTTCATCTAAATAAATTCAATAATTAATATTTACATAATAAATGCATTATGCAACTATAAACGCTATTGATAATGTTAAATATTATTAAAAATGGTTATATTGTTAAATAAATAATATAAATGTGCATATTTAGTGCCTCTTGTTATAGGTCATACATGTTTAATGTTATTAAATGTATATAACAGATATACATTTGTAATTCTTGTAAAATATAAATTTACTATTTACTATCAAATAAAAATGTTGTTCTACTTTTGACTGTGAAATCTAATTAACAAATGTTCATAGAATTATGTAGAAACAAAATAATTGAATCAGGAAATTTAACCTTATATTAGACTTTATGAATACTCATTGACACCTATGTATTTTCATACAAAATCATTCAGTTGRCTTGTGTATGAGATGAATTGTGAAATTAAAAAAAAAATGTTGTGTTTAGGACACATTTATTTGTTGCTTCATAGCTATTTGACAATAAATTCAAACAAGATGAAGTTAACAATTATTTTTATTAATATTATTAGTAACATTTTTAATATGTGTAACTTAAACCAAAATTATTGAAAGACTGTCAATCAAACACAAAGTATTATTTTAAAGTTATTCCAAAGAAATTTAACAAACACTAAAAAAATTGATTATATGATATTATATACTTAAGTTTAAAAGACATTAATACTTATATAGCAGAAATAAGAGATAAAATAAATCAACGCATATTTAAAAAGGCTGTAAATAAAGTAACTCAATATTGTAGCCAGAGAAAGTTTTGTATTACACCAATATATTGTATATACAAATAACGTGAAGGAAATAACCAATTTTACAAAAGATCATGTAGTAAATGTGCTTATTTATTATTGGATCTCATTATCAGTCTAAAATATAAACAATGATAATTCTCTCCCTTAAAACGTTATATATGTATCTTAATTTTACATGGTCAAGTCCATAATAGCATTGACAATGTCATTGTGGTTTCTAAGCAGCGCTTCAATAGCCTTGCGCTTGGTAACTTGAGCTTGCGCACAAACTAGGTCAACATCCTTTTCTTCTACTCCCTTGTAATCAATCTCTCCTTCTTCTTCTTCTTCTTCTTGGATTGGCTGACTGACCATTGGCCTGGATGCACCATCTTTGTCCAATACACTTGGCATCATATCAGCAGACTTGAATTTCTCAGCAGCTGCAACTTGTGCTTGTTGGCTTAAATCTTCAATCTTGGCCTCACCAAAAACAATGTAAGTGTCAGACGCCGGATTCTTGAAGACATCCGGATTGTTGATAACAAACAAAATATTTTTGGACTTACGAATGGTCACTCGATTCACTCCGTGAATCTAAAACCAATTTGAAGATTGATAAATAACAAGCATTATAACTAAAAAATAATTTTTATAATCTACCTGCTTGAGACCAAGTTTAGATATGATTTTCCTGGCTTTTTTCTCGCCTCTCGACTGTCTGGCCTTGTTGGATAAGTCTTCTGCAGTGACACCACTAGCTCCTTCACCACCCTTGTTGGTGGCAACATCTACGCCACTCGAATCACTGTCACTGTCCGCAGCATCTTTCTTGGGCTCCTCAAAGCTTACCTTTTTCGTCGCATCGATTTCCGTTAGTTCAGGCATGTTTCCTGCAATACAACACAAGTGTTAGTACCCTTAAAAGTCTGGTCACTTTTGAATTATTAACGTTTTTAAGAGAAATATGCCAATGACTTAACGTTTTAAGCTACTTACTCGAATTCGATGCGTTAAAAAAATTACAAGTCGAACAACAAACTACGGGACAAGTCTCGAGGTTATGTACGAAAAACGTGTTGTGATCAACAATGAAATGAAACTCGCGAAGACCGTCTTCGGTATTATTGAAATCACAGTTTGGTATTCAAGTCAAAGAGTATAATGAATATAATATTCTCTATAAAAGAAATAACGTACAGTGTTACCGCGCGTGATAATATCAAGTTTCGGTCGAACTGCGTGACGACAAATTAAATGTGACATACACGGATATAATATCTAAATATCTAATAGTTAATATTATATGATCATTACTTATTAGTTATTACCTATTAATTGGTTGTCGGTTTATTACAAATTATGTTGCTATTTTTATATTCCATATTCTATTGAAATAATGACATTGACATATTAATAATTAATATGTCTATGAATTAGGATTATTTATAGTTTTTCCCGAGACGGTTCTCATAATTTTAAGTTTTAATATCGGTAACACCGATAACAATATCATTATCTTATCACAATAAAACAAAGTGGCAAGACGTGCATCTCCATAAATTCTCCACTTCCCCAGGGCTAAGACGAGCCCATGAGCGATTGTCGATGTCGAATCGATCGTAAGATTTTTGGAAATCTACATTAGATAATCATAACACTTTATTCAACCCTCCTCCCGGCTTTGTTTGCATATGATTGCGTTTACGTTTACTTGCACAGCTACTACTGCTTTAGGTTCTGTAACAATTGCACCTACWTGATAATATAATATGATTGTGGACAAATAACTAGTAGAGACCTATGACCTTGCCGACTTGGTAATCCTTTCTCATTGACTAAAATAACTTGTTAATCCTTAGATTTATTTCATAAATGCACGTGGTATTACCCAGCACCTACGGACGTCAGATGTTATACAAAAAGGAAAAACAAATTTTCGTCAAGGGTACTGTGTCTGCGGTCACGAACAACGTTGCCGTGAACGTATCCAAATATCAAAAACCGCTGAACGGTTATGCTATCATCGACCGGCAAACGGTTCACATTATAGATACAGAAAATTCCGGGGATAACGCAGCCGACGTTCCACAGTATTGTCTCGATACGAAAACTGATGTCACTCAAGTAAAATGATTACATAAAGAACAATAATTAAAATAGTGTTATTTGAATTTCGGATCTGGGGGGAATTTTTTTTAAGTTTTAAGCCAACTGGCAAAATTATGGAATCTTTCAACCCAATTACTAATTTTCCATGGTACCTAGACGTAATCCACGACGCCATTGTGCTTTCTTAAGAAAAAATGCTGTAAATCGGAAAAAAAATGAAATTATACTATATWACGTTTAATTGTATACATTTTTTGTATCAATTATAAATGTACGAAGTACAATTTGTCTATCTGATCGTTGAAAATATGTTATGTATTAAAAGTTAGTTTAATGATGACATACACAGAATTGGATTTTGTTTTTGTCTAAAATAAAGTAAATAGATAAAAAAGGGATTCCTCAGCATTTTTCACAAACAAAAATTGTGGGTTACCATAAGAAAAACGCATCAATATTCTATCGAATTTGAGTCAAATTTTCCCACATAAGAGTAAAAATTTCGATAAAGTTTAACGTTATATTATAATCAATAATTAATTAAATTACTATCATTATTATTATTATAAAGATATTAAAAATGTGTAGTGAGGAGGTAGTTGTATTACATTTGAACTTAATTTTAAACTTTTAAATTCTGTTATTAAACATGACTAAAAATAAATATGGATAATATATTTCAGCAATCAGTACATTTTATTTTGGTATGCCACGTGAAAATGTCTAAACCAGAATTACATTTTTACCAAGTAAACAATTTTAAATAATTAATAACGAGAGTATTTAGAATGAGAATAGATATCAAAACAACAGTATCTATTGGTAAAATATAAATTTAAATTGAATAATCCATTACATTCRTATTATGGTCATACCACTCATACCTGACTGAGCTTCAAAACTTTACTAAGTAATAAGACTTGATAGGACAGCCAGGGCAGGATACCCGAATTTGTTGTTTTTGTCTTTCAAGTGCATAACATAGTAAAAACTGTTTAGTGTGGTATAGAACCACTCAGTCTGTACTCCTAATAAAAACATCAAAAGTTAACACTCAATATGGAAGATAATATTTKTGTGTCCTATCGTTATTATTTGTTATAGTACTTTTAAAAATCTGATATTCTTAAGTTTTCAAACTTCAGTAACTTATGATATAGTTAAAATTATCCCATTTCCATTGTGAAAATTTGGTCTCTTCGTTATATCTAGGGCCAACAATTATATGCCCTAGAACAAATTTTATTTTTAATTTAATGATTTATATTTTTATATATGTATTATTTAATATTCCATAATATCAATGATTGCCAATGATTTATGTGGTATTAATAAAGTTTTCATTTTCGGCATTTTAAAATAATTTAGTGACAACGCACCGCACAAGTATAAACCACGATCCATGTGCCATGTCTGACGATTACGATAGGTAAGATAATGGAATATAACGGCACATAATTGTTGACACTCATGATTAGTGATTAAGATTAATGTATTAGTCATGWATAGTAATGAGTGAAACAAACTAATTTATTGTACTTCGAGAGTCTAAATATGCTATAAAAATATACAAAATAAAATTTCATGTACACAATACAGCRTCATTAGGTTATGATACAAATATTGGTATGAACACTATGAACTAGATATTTTATGAACCAATCAATAAAAATAAACCAATGGATACAAGCGTTGGCCCTAATTATAACTATAGACTTATTGGTTCTTTCCCRCGCGAAACAGTTTTTTCGATGTTATGCACTTGTAAGACTGAGATAACACATGCGGTTTGCGAGTATCTCGTTYCTTAACGAATCCAAATATCATTAAAGTTGATTCCCTGATCCCTCTAGACCTAGCCGATACTAGAATACCACAATTTTTCGTTGACTGAAAATAAAACGACCCAGACTCTCAAGTATAATAATTATTTATATTAAAATTAACACATTTCTTAGTTTACTAATATCAGTAATGTCTTTAAATATTTGGAAATCCGTATACATACAATTCTGAAACCAGTATGATGGTATTTTCTTATCTTTAGATATTMTGGTGCACACTTGGTTACATAAATTGCCTAGTAGTCACTTGTTCAGAAGGCCTTATTATTTATGATTGTGACCAACAGTTCAAACGCATATATACTCAYAACTGTGAGGACAAAAATATGAAGGAGAAATATGCAAAAGGGATAGCGGCATTTGAGTGCACTTACTTGTGTGTTGGTACGTGGATTAAGTGTTAATTCTTTTAAGACTATAACACTTAACTACTTGTACAGGTAATAGTAACGGATCAATCAGAGTGTTTGGACCAGATGAAGATGGAGAAGTGGTGTTTTTAGACYGAAAGCTGTTTCACGGGTCACCTATTACAGACATGTCGTCTTACAAACATAATTTGGTGTCTTGTGATGAGTCCGGTTGTACAGTACTTTCACAAATTGATTGCGGAGAATTGATGATTGTTGCAAGATCTAGAGTTTTTGGGGGGTTGGTAAAACAAAAGAATATTTAAGCACTGTGCACCGTTTGCCACTTTCACGTTTAACAATAAACACATCTGAAGGACTGTTCAATATTAATGAGCCTTARATACCTCATTATAATTTATAATACAGTCCATATATTTTAGACATCCATGCACTACAGCAGAAATGACTAGAATCGGACTAATGGCCATAGGTTATGGATGTGGAACGATTCGTATATTTGACCCAACTGTCAAACTTATAAACGGAGATGCCGAAGATCAGCTACCAATGATAATCCAGATATCTGCACACGCTAGATGTATTACATCAATGTCAGCAGCCAAAGATGTGGATTTATTATTGAGCGTATCAGAAGATTCATGGATTAGAATTTGGAAAATCAGCTCTACGGTAATAATAATTAATATTTAATGATAACATATCTCGAAATTACATTTTACATTTCAGACAGCAACATTAGTATATTGCTACATGAAAGAAGATACYATGTTTGTGGGATGCCACTTCATTACTAGAAACGGATCAAAATTTTGTACTACAGCATATGATTCACCATATATAACATGTTACTCATTAAACCAGTTGTAGGATATGTAACTTTATTTTAAAAATAAACAAATTAAGGTGAATGGGGTAAAAAATATGAATTTAAAACAAGACATTGAATTTATATTGTATAAGTGGATGGCTTAAATAATAAAAAAAAATACATTAGATATTATGAATATATAATTTTAGAAATTTCAATATTCTGGATGTTTCTATATGCAGATAACAGATAGGATAGCCTTATTATAAGTTAAATGTCTTAACTATTACTTACAGAAGGTCAGACTAAAAAAAAACAMTTTGAAATTAAAAAACCTTAATTGTTAAATAAATTAACACCAGAGGACAGTGTCTCTTGTTTCATTTGGAATTTACACATCCAGGAACATTAAAGCCTGATGTTAAGTTTAATTAATCTGAAACAAATAAATAAATAAATTAGCACATCAGATGTACTAACTAGGTTTAMAACATGATACATAATTGAAACAAAAAGAAGATTTACAGAAGTCTACGCAGTATTTTTAATATTATCCAAACCCTTATATTGTATTTTTATCCTTAATATTAGGAAATTGACTTATTCATCAAAGTGAACTATATAAGCCCGCGAGTATTTACCCATTAGGATATCTCCCGAAATAATAGATTTCAAAATTCTGGTTTTATTATAAGGCTCATAGAGAT